TTTTTGGGGCCTTTAGAGTTCGAACTAAGTGTTATTTCGAGCATCATTTTTTAAATGAGAATTTTCCCGCAAATTTTCCGCGAGTAACGAGCGAAAAAGCATAAAACCAGTAAGTAAATTAATTTACCGCGTCGGTGGTATCCCAAGCCAAAAGAGATAATGAGTAAAGGAAAAATAAAAACCGAACTCCGAATAAAGGCAGTCAGATTCGATCAAGGACAAATTAATTAAACGTACCGGTATAATTGTTGCAACAAATGATTATGCCAAGATGCCAATTTCTGGGTCATTTTGTCACTCATTGAAAGTTTAAGAAAGAAAATATTCATAGACGTAAATGGGTTCGATTTAATTAGCCATAAGGTCTATTTTGGAAATCTAACGGGGTTCTGCCTTCGGGTAACTGCAGCCGGCTGGGCAGAGATTGAAATTTGGAGTAATTTGAGGCTATATTAATGAAAAAAAAATATAACAAAGTATGTATGGTATGCAGCTGTTGAAACGGAGCCGGTGCTGGGTCTGAAGATACCGCCACTGGTTGTCGCTGTCAAATGGAATAGCGTCAAAATAAACGTTGGTAATTTCTCGTAGTTTTTTTATTGGACCCTGACACAGGTGCATTTAAATAATGATATAACAAGGCCTTAATTTACTAGGATTAACGACGCCAGTAACACAGGTGAGTAAAATAGCCAAATAAAAGTAATGATTAAATTAACAGGTCTGAGAATGCATAATAATGAAACTAAAAAGGAAAGCTTTCGGGAAAATGAAAACTAAACGGAAAATAAATTAAAAGGACTTCTCGTTTTCTAATCGGGGTTCTGATATCTGGTCGGTAAGAGGTAAAGAAATTGATTTCTGGTTCTGGCTTCTGATAGGTAAGAGGTACTGGAAAATTTCTGGTTCTGGTTTCTGGTCGGTTTGGGGTAACGGAATTCTCCCTGGAAGTCTTGACAATCACACTTTTATAGAGACAAGGAGAAGCACAAAACAAGTGGAGAAATGAGAAGGGATTTAAATTCAAAACAGGGAGACGACAGCGTCGACATCTAACGGAGGAATTTTATAACACATACTACAGGATGTTTCTAAATTAAATTTCTACGTTACCACTTTTATATTTTTTTTACAATTTTGTATACAAAAACTTGCTGTATACTGTTATTGTCTTTGACAGTGAAGTAAGAGTACTTTAAAAGCAACGAATTAGATTTATTTTGACTTTTTCGCATTAATAAGATCGATAATTTACTGCAAAAAAATCGTTATTTGAAAAAGACCATTGCAACCGCCCTTTTTTAATATAAAGATTGTAATTATATAAAACTTTTTATAAATATTAATGTGTCAGTTTTGACAGGAGTCATGTAAAGTGACAGGAGACCGGAAAAATAGCCAGGGCAACAGATCAAGAAAGAAGAAAAAACCTTAAAGTTAAGGACAGAATGAAAAACAAAGACCAAGAAAGCCATAAGCCGCGCCCTTGTGGTGCAGTGTTAAAAAAACCCGACTATGGCACTGAGGGTCCCTGGTTCGAATCCCGCTTCGCGCATGGATACTTGTGCATGTATAGTGGGTTGGCTAAAACACCGCCCATTTAAAAATAAGAGCCATACGTGCAGCAAGCTATGACGAGCTTCATAGTCATGCGGACGATATCCTGAAAAACTTATGGTGCGACTCTTTTCAATTGGGGTGCATTGAAGTTAAGCTATGAAAGAGACGGTCTCATTGTATTTCATATGCAATGAATGCAAATAATAATATTGTAGCGAATATTCCAGAAATTCCGACAGACATCGAGGCGCAATGAAAGATTAGTCATCGGCGATAAAAAAACGAAAGCGGATGTGACGCAATCTTTCATAGAAATATGACGTGTTTGTTCGAGAACATTCTGAAGCGTCCTTGAACACTCAAGAACATTCTAGAAAGAATGTTGTTTGCTATGTAAGCAAATCTCTATTATAAGCTGTAAATTACACCACTAGGAATGTAATTAACGTAATTTGTAGTACTTCCCAGGAAAGAATGCTGATCAAAGATCACGCTGATGCCGATCTACAACTGTGTCTACCACTCTGTGACCGGAATTCCCTCCTGACGAGCCGAATATGTATTTTAAAAGATATTCAAATCTGAATCATTACCAAATATCCAACAACAAGCACACTCGCTCTTGATAAAAGGGCACTTTACTGGAACAAAAGGGTAAATCTTGCCAGAGTACCGTTCCCACGTTTTTGAAGGCAAACTTTGACGATAATACACTAATTTTATACAGAGGAATGATTGGCTTTCATAAAATCATAATGATACCTGTTAAATAGGCACATCTATCTAATTAGGCTAATTAATAAGTAATTAATTTTGAAATTAAAATTGTTTAGGTACAATCGCACGTACTTTACACGGCCTTTCAACTCAAATACGTAGTTTCCCACAAACGTGATAAGGTATTTTCTGGAAAGGTGGGCACTTTTTATCTTTGGCCTCCTGATGGAGAACCTTTCCCAATAAATCAAAATCAACTTTTACATGTAAGTACTTTTTGTGTCAATTTTTTAAGTACTTAGTTAATGGAAACTGAAGTCATGTGACAATAACGGCAGTAAGTGGCCGCAATGTGACTAAAGGTCAATTGCTTTGTGGCACAATTTTCAAATTTCCCAGACAAGAATAGCAACCAGGTGTTTACATGTTCAAGGATTTCATAAAATAAGCGTAAGGATTTCCAGTATGACGCAAAATACACTTAAAGACATTTTTATAGTTAATTTTATATGGTTAGCTTTTCTGAATTGGTTACTTTAATAATTATAGCTAAAAGTCAGTTACATTATTAACATATGTATGGTCCATAAAAATTCATTTCAGTGTTAACACAAATTAACATCTTTTTTATATTTTCTACATGGAAAAAATTACATAAATCACGCGTACTTACAGTATGGAAGGGGATCGACCTTTCAATGATTTAAATTCTTCTCACTGTACCATAAGTGGATAAGTCGCTGTGCCTTCAGTAAAAATGTTTTGGAAAATTACGCTTTTAGTAGTAGCATCTATTCAAATTACGTAAGTCCATAGAACTGTATTTCCAATATTGTCAAACTGTGTTTAGGTTTTGTCAAAATGTTAGTGGAATTATGCTACCGACTCAATTGTTAATGGGTGCAGGCACATCTGCCTATCAGGTTGAAGGAGCTTGGAATGAGGATGGTAATATGGGCGCATATAAACTTAAGTGACAGTAATTTTAGGTCGAGGTCTAAGTATATGGGACACTTTTGTTCACGACTATCCCGAAAAGATTGAAGATCATAGTACGGGAGATGTTGCAAGTGATACCTATCATAAAACAAAGGAGGACGTCGCTCTTCTAAAAAATATAGGTTTTCACTTTTATCGATTTTCGATATCATGGTCAAGAGTACTGCCGAAAGGATTTGAAAATGAAGTGAATCCATTAGGCATTGCTTACTATAACACTCTAATTGACGAGTTATTGGCAAATGGCATTGAACCGGTTGTGACAATGTACCACTTCGATCTTCCCCAAACCTTGCAGGATTTAGGAGGATGGACAAATCCTAATATCATAAAGTGGTTTACAAATTTTGCTAGGATTCTGTTTGAAAATTTTGGAAATCGAGTTAAAAGTTGGATCACTATTAACGAACCGAAACAACTTTGCAGATTTACCTATGCCAAAGGATTAATAGCACCAGGCCTTGTTTCAGAAGGTTTAGGTGAATACTTATGTATCCACTACGCAACGTTAGCGCATGCCAGCGTTTATCACCTGTATTCGCGCCGCTTTAGAAGATCTCAAAACGGTATTTTGGGCAGGGACAAAGAAACGTATTGACACCGCCTGTCTTTTAGGAAAAGTCGGTTTAACCATTGATGGTTCTTGGTGCGAACCAGTAGATAAAAAAGAAAGGGATGCTGCCAGCCGAAAGATTGCGTTTGATGTATGTGACATGTTCCACTACATAATATCCCAATTATACTTTCAGATTGATATGTTTGCCAATCCAATTTTTGGTCAACTTGGAGGTTACCCAGACTTTATAAGTAAATTCATAGGTTACAAAAGTAAATTAGAGGGCTACACAGAATCACGTCTGCCAAAATTGAGTCCCGAACAAATATCATATATTAAGGGCACTGCCGACTTCTTCGGACTAAATTTCTATTATACCACTCTAGCCAAATCTGGACCTTCGACTCTTCTTAACACCAAAGATATGGACGTGGAGGATCTTCCGGAACCGAACCCAATTAAAAATGTCAACGAGTCTATTAAGGTAAGTTGGTCGCAGTGTTGTTTATGAAATTTTAATTTGCACTTCAGTTAGCGGCCATCGGGTTTAGGAAAGTACTCAGGTATGTCAAAACAAAATATGGAAATCCCGAGATTTGGATTTTGGAGAATGGATTTCCAACAACCGAAGATAGTGGCTTGGATGACCAGTCGCGGATCAGCTACTTCAAGGTAACTCCGCCAACTGCTTTGGTACTTTCTGAGCGTAGCACTTTTAGAACAGCATACGGTCCGTAGTAGATGCAATAAATAAGGATAAAGTAAATATTCGAAGATATACTGTTTGGAGCATTATGGACAACTTTGAGTGGAATAAGGGATATACGTAGGTATGTGTTCCAACAATTCGTACTTAATGTATTTTTATTTTAGTGTTAGATTTGGTATATTTCACATTAATTTCACGGATCCGTCCCGAGAACGAGTGCCTAAGGCCTCTGCCACTTTCTTTAAAACGTTACTTGCAACGAGAACGTTACCAACAGAATAAAGAGAGATATAAAATCGTGCAGGAAGGGGTTCTTTTTGGCAGCTGTATCATAATAGTGACTTAGATTTGTTCTAAATAATTTGTCAATTCGAAACGGATGGGCGTTAGGGATAGACACTTTTGTAACTTCATTTACGGTCTCAAATTGGATTGATGATCGCAGTACGCCAAATGAAAATTCTACCACGTGTAAAATGTTGCGTTTTTAACGGAAAGGGAATAAACGTGTAACGTGCTAAGGCATCCACTGACGATGTTAGATGGTATTATATAGAGCATGTATTACGTAGTTCTAAAAATATTAGTTTCTCTGATCTAAAATAGGAATCAAGGAGAATTTTTAACAGATAATTAGTTGTCTAAACCGAAAATGCTCCCGCTGCATTACAGTGAAAGTTAACTTTAGGGGAAGCATGATCGAGAATTTCCGGATTTCCTTCAAGTAAACCACAACTTTTAAGACTTTCATAACAAACTTTTGACTTGCTCAAATCACCACCCTCCTTTCTATAGAGATCGTTATTTCAACAAAAACATCACCCCAAAATAGTAATAAATCAACAAAAGGAAAATTGTCTAACCTAACGTTTTGATTAAACAGCATCTTTGACACAGAAGAGAGAGGTTGTTATTAATGATTGAAAAGGGGGGTATATTCAGATGAAAGGCGTGCGCGTCTAAGAAAAATCGCACTGTAAATTCGAAACGTAAAGAAGTTACATCTAAAATAATGGCAATTCTATGCATTGAAGTTCTTTTTTACAATGCGTATCTGACGAGAAAATATGGTCTGAGTAAGTGTATCGGTTTCTTTTCGTGCTTTTGTTAGGCTGTCGAAGCTTTACTACACTAAAAGCTTTCTCAAAAGTGGTCGTAGGTTTTATTCACTTTTAAATGTCTCGATTTCGCTATTCACCGTTTGAGTAATGTTCAGGCGAAGGGCGGTAAGAGTATTTAATTCCGAGGGCTACACTGAAGCAAAAACCTTTAGTTCAATCACAGATTACCTAGGCATTTTAGGTTATATGTTTCGTTTATCTGTTAGTACCAATTAATCTATGTATCCAATGAGATGCAACGGTCTTTGTTGCATAAAGGGTTAAAATTTCCCTTCGTTTCGGAAAGCTTCAAAATTCTGAACTAAAGCTGCAGAAAATAATAATTTGCCATCGGCTAGCCAAATATTTACAAAATTTTACATTTTTTTATGGTTCTACTCATAGCCTAATCTTATTAGGCCATGGTTCTACTTACTGCAGATTGCTCTGAAATTTAACTAATAAATTCTAAAACTTGTTTCCATTTTCCAGTAAAAAGAACAATAAATGGCCCATGTGAAGTTGCCCCCCACCCCCTCCACATGAAATAATTTGACAAAAATGTGTCGATAATTAGTGCTACGTTAGCGCTCTTTTGTGCTCGAAGATTACGATTCCTTGCCTTTCCAAGAAAAACGACAAAAAGTAAAATATTTTGTGAAGATGGCTCCACCCATGACCCGTTCTTAAAGAAACGCACATACGTTGTTAGTGCTGCGTTAGTGCTGTTTTATGCTTAAAAATTACGATTCCAACGTTTTTTTGTTTCCGAGAAAAACAAAAAATAGGTACTAAAGTATTGTGCGGAGTTGACCCCATTTATGACTCGTTAAAAAAACACATACTATAGTTAGTGCTACGTTAGTGCTGTGGTAGTCGAATATTAACAGTAACACTGGATCTTACCTCAAAATGAACCGTGCAAAATGTTAGGAAATATTGAATGACTTTATTTATCGATCTTGAGCAGATATTGGGAATATGGTGGTTTATCAGTTTCTTCAAGACTAAGACTAATCCTAATGTAACTAAAGTCAATAAATTGGTGTAAGAAACAGGGTTGACATTGATATTAAAAAATTTTGTCCAGATCGATCCATGAATTAGAAAAATATCTATTGTTCAAATTATTAATAAAAAAAATTTGTTAGATTGCACGTAAGTTATCCAATGAAGGAGTAACACCATTATTTTTAAAAACTTTTTAATCATGCGGAAACTATGCAGTATTCTAGAACTTCTGTTGAGATGTTCCACCCTGTACAATACAACTTACGACGATGCACCCATTTTTCAGAGCTGGAAACCGTGCAATTTTTAGGAGGCGAAAGCTGTCTGCACCATCTGGAGGGCACGAGCGTTGGTTACGTTTGGAATCTTCTTTTTAATGGCGATTACGAAAGTTTGTTGTTATTTTTGTATTATTTAATGCAGGTAGTTCTTATAATGTATTTGCGTTTTGCATGCAAGATTTTATATTTTTTGCAAGTTCCAATCTTTGATTTTGAAATTGACTTGATTTAATCCCAATGCAGATTCATGTGTTTTGTATCGTTAATCTTTGTTTGAAATCGCGTTCATTTTCGGTGTAATGTTTGACAAATTTTTATTTATGTTTCGATTACATGGCCTTGGCCCAAACTTAGATTTATATTTTTGAGCAGTCTTTTAAACATGTGAAAATTATCGAATTGTTTAGTGAGTGTATGTGTGTACTGACTTGTTTGTAAACTACACGGCCAAGGGGGTGAAAAAAATCTGTAATCAGATGAGTTACCAGATTCAATACCGGGGCTGATCTCGACAATCAACTGTAAGCTCGAAACCCCGAACGAGGGGCGAGTTAGCTATCTTGGGGGCGAGATTCTGCTAATAAAAACTCTTAGGTTGTGATATATGAGTTGTGATTCACTGATTTCCTCATATTTTGTCGTAATATTGAATTTGCCTCAAAGGGCCATGTAATTTTCCGTCTTGCTCCTAACAGAAGGATTTTATTGAGTCACATCATATGTATTTCACCCTTTCTCAGAATTTTGGTACCTGCTTACCTAACCCATTGTTCCCAAAACTTGTTTTTAAACTATATGCCAACTTTGGAAGCTTGCATGGTACATATTTTGTTGTTTTAATAATTCATATCATTAGAAACTATTAATTTTGCTACGCAATTTAATATGAATTTGTGGGCTGGTTTTTTTGTTGGGAATAGCGATTCGGGTGCATAAAAAACTCCATTCCACGTTTTCTCGTAAATTACAGCACTTCACAGTCATCATATATTACAAAAACGTTTTTTAAACGTAAATAAAGCATTGTTTTAGAACAATTTGACATCTGTTCGAAAGAAAAAAATGCGTTAAAATAGTGCCAGTTGTCACTTCTGAAACTCTTATTAGATATACACTAAATTTACCATTTACAGGAGTAGTTTTCATTTAGATCTTGCACATTTTCCTTTTTGTACGTATATTCGATAATATGAATATTTTACAGTCATTATTCAGTTACAACTTTTAATGGATTCCGTCAGTATAATAGTACCTTTCAATGATCAACTTGAAATGAAAACATGACTTAACATTTTGTTTTAAACGGCCTATCAAACGACATGCGATGGATTGACGTTGATCCTGATAGATTACGTACCCTAGTCCATCCACTCTTCCATACGAGCTGAGCAATAAATAAATTTGTGTATTCCAAACATACATATTAGATATTACGTTTCGCCTTCGCATAGGCTTGAGAAAGGCGTAACTTTATTTTGGGACTGAGTGGAATGCGAAAAACACAGCTAGTTTAACCTAATCGTAAATTCAACGCACGAGGTGATTCCTTCTGCATTGACGATAAGGCGTTGCCCGGATTACCGATGTCTTGGTTAAAGAGGGAATCTTGGGGAAAACCTGGATTACAATCAACCCTACTGAATAATGATCGCGGAAAAATTCAAAGGGAAAGAAAGTTCTCTCCATATTTACGCTGTATTTATGACGCAGGCACATAATTAGGATTATGACACCTAATCAGAGCTGGGCAGTATTCGATTTTGTAAATACTTTTTAGTATTCAAATCCTTTAAAGTATTCAAATACTTTGTAATTAAATACTTTTATGGAAGCAGTATTTGTATTTGTAACTCAAATACTTTCACAAATATTTAGTATTCGAATACTTCGCAAGGTATTTGAATACTTTGAGGAGTGTTCCAATACTTCGCATAGTATTTAAATACTTTACCTTCCTTTTTTACAAAAAATCGACTACTCCAAAATTTCTCGGAAAACACTTTTTCTTATTAATTTTGGTGCGTAGAATCCAAAACAATTCGTACTTTTTCGATCAGACTTCTCAATCAAAAGTTACAGACTAGAAACCAATTTCGAAAGAAAATTCAAAGGGCTGTAACTTTTGAAATAGTAGCCCAACCTTGGAACTGTTTGAAATTATGGATTCTACAGCCACATTCTATAAGAAAATTTTTTTCCGGGTCGATCTGAAACAATTTTTTCTGAGGGCCTCAAAAAAAGGCAGTGTATAACTTTCCTTTTTTTACAAAAAATCGACTACACCAAAATTTTTCCGGAAAACACTTTTTCTTATTAATTTTGGTGCGTAGAATCCAAAACAATTAGTACTTTCTCGATCAGACTTCTCAATCAAAAGTTATAGACTAGAAACCAATTTCGAAAAAAAATTCAAAGGGCTGTAACTTTTGAAATAGTAGCCCAATCTGGGAACTGTTTGAAATTATGGATTCTACAGCCACATTCTATAAGAAAATTTTTTTCCGGGTCGATCTGAAACAATTTTTTTTGATGGCCTCAAAAAAATGCAGTGTATAACCTTCCTTTTTTACGAAAAATCGACTACACCAAAATTTCTCGGGAAAACACTTTTTCTTATTAATTTTGGTGCGTAGAATCCAAAACAATTCGTACTTTTTCGATCAGACTTCTCAATCAAAAGTTATAGACTAGAAACCCTCCAAGGGAATCCTCCTTAAGTTTCTCCTAGGCTAAATATTTTCCTAGAAATCTTTTTTAACAACAAGAATTTTATTTAAAACGTTTCTTCATATTTGGCAGACATGTCGAAATTTTTCTGAAAAAGAAATTTGAAAAAGGTCCTACAACTTTATCACAATCCTACTTAAAACTCTTCCTAGAAACAGGTACGTTATTAAAACCGAGGCCAGCACCAAGGCCCCGACCATAGGAAAAATCCAAGGTCACGCCCTTGAGTCAAATTTCAAGTCTACAATCTTGAGACCAAGGCCACAACCTTGAAATGTCACAAAAGTGGGGGTGGTGGCTCTGTTCTACTCAATTGTGTCGCTATGGCGGTTATTCTAAGAGTATTTTATTCTGCGTTATAGAACCGGCCCTAAACGGGATAAAATGAAAGGTTTTAGAGTGATGTTTTTACGCTATTTAATATCCCGCTACCTTCAGGCAGGCATTTT